GGAACAGCATAGGCAAGGACCATGAGGAGAGGCGCTAGTGAGGCTCAACACAGGTTGGAAAAACGGTGCTTTATTTTCTAGTTGGGCATTTTACACCTTCAGGATTCACCAACCTCCAAGTATGAAAGCTCTCTTCCATTCTGATCTCTGATTCTTGGAGTGTCCCTGCTGTCAGGAGAGCTGGCCATTTTACATCACAATCTCTCCTTTACCACCATTAGCTCTTCCTTTTGTCTTTTTGCTGTGGGCACTTCACCATCTGTTCCAATCACTGCTCCTGTCCGCTTTTGTCAAGAGCATAATAACACAATTTTCTAGTCCTCTTCAGTACCAAACAGTTATTGGATTCTAAATGTTAGCTGTTTCTCTCTCCTCAGTTGCTGCCAGATCAATAGAGTTTCCAGTATTTTGCTTTTAGAGTTTAGATTTTCAACATCTACAGTATTTTGCTTTTATTATCCCATTTCTAAATCTTTAAGACTCCAACCTACTGTATGGTTGCTATTAGGGGAGCTATATAGCTCTCCCACAAGTGACTTCTTGCCTTGGCCATTTTTGATTTCTGCCCAAGCCTTGCCTGCATCCTGATTTCTTGAACTTAGGTCACCATGCTCTATGGTGTTATTACTGTTATTAATAATGAAAAATGAAAAGCTATGCCTGCTATCAGGCCTATTTTAAAGCAGTAAACTGTTGTAATTTGCAGAGAGCCATAATTGGAGCATTTTGTGTTATTGTAAGTTTGTTTTTGTTTGCTTCCATTGATTTTATCCACATTATCTGTTCTATTTGAAGGTGCTAATTTGGTAAACGATTGTTTACTACTAAAATGTGCACTCAGGATCCTATTTGTGAATGAAGTACTCTACAGGGCTGTAAGTACAATTTTGACTTGTACTTTACCATATTTATCCATTTTCCAGTTGTCAACTACCGATTTTTATTTCTCAAGTTTTCAGTAATTCATCATCATTGCTTTCCTTCAACATGACAGCTATATTCTGGATCAACTTCCATCAGAGAATTATTTGTCATAGATGTGGCTGATGACTTTTGCTAACACACTGACTCATCTGTGTGACACCTTTCTCCCATGCCAGAAAAAGCTTTTTAAAAACTATGCAAATGTATTAAAGTGCAAGGTTCTCCTAAAAATGTATATTTTGTTATTCTGTGTTGTATATAAGCCCATGTCCGGACTATAGCTAAAGTTGTTGCCATTGGTTTTCTGTACCTAGAGGCAATTCCTGTCATGATCTGGCTAATATTTACTGCTTGGGGCAAGGGTAGGTCTGCACACTTCTGGTATGCAGATTGACTCTTCCTGTTGTCATTGGGTGCAAATGCATTGAGGTGCCTGCATGGATGTTAGTAAATGTTTGTGTATCTGTAATTTTTCAACTACTGACCTCGTTTCTTGCCAGCAAAGTAGGGGGATTACAACGAAAAATAAGGGGGTGGATTGGGATTGCATCATGGTTTTGGGGGGGGCATTCCCAGTAATTTATAGATCAGTCAGTTTAACAGTAGTAAGGAGGATAAATAGTAGAATGTGAGGTGATAATAGGTGAGATTTAAGAAAGTTGTAGAAAAGTAAGAAGTAACGATGAAATAGTTGGCTTAGAGTTTAAAAGGGAAGACCTTACTTGATCAGTCTTATTGAATTTTCTAGGGGGACAAGACCAGATAAGTGATAATACAGTACTTGTAACTTGTAACTTGTCCAGACTTTCTGCTTGTTTATCTTGCTTTTACTGTAGCCTTTTAAGTGTCAGTCATTCAGATCTTTTGAAAGTACCAACTGCAGAAACTGCAGGCGCTTGAACCCTCTTCATCTGGTCTAAGTAAACATTGTGCAACTGACAAAATAGATTACAGAGCAAGAGCTGCCATTCCAGGAATGCTTTCCCTTTCAATAGACAAATGGATGGCTAGGCTGTCAGCCAAAAATGAATCACAGGGCTGTAGCAAAAGCAGTAAGTAAGTAGAAATTTGTGATTTTTTTTTTTTTTTTTTTATTTCTACACGTCATGCAGTTATCTCTTGGGTTCTTTGGTTCTGTGGAGCGTATGTTGGGTGGATGGTCCTGGAATTATCATAACTTGGCATGGTGAGTAGGAGCCAACAGTGGAGGGGTGTAGTGTGGTCTAGAGGGTGTGAATTGGCATGAATAGGGCACAGAAAGTAAGCGGAAGAGTGCTAGAATGCTCTGTCTTGCTTTACTTTCAATATCACAACTGAGATAAAGTCCTAGAGCACCAAGACAGGCCTTTTAAACAGCCTGCCTCCAAACTTCCAGAGGTGATGTGCCCAACTCTTGTTTTCACTTCCTCACCTGGAGAGTTGCGAGCTCACTACTAGAGGGAGTGGTAGTGAAAAGCGTATAGATGTGTTTAAGGCGAAGCTAGAGGAACATATGAGGGAGAAGAGAGTAGATGGTTATAAATAATGGGTTTAGATGAAGATAAGCAGGAGGGGGGTTGAGTGGATGATTAAAGCTGGTATGGGCTGGTTAGGCCGAATGGCATATTTCTGCATGCTGTGTACCCTGCGTTCAGACTAACCTCTAAACGAACAATTAACAGGTTCTGCTTTTGCATAAGGCTTGTTTACTGAGCAAAATTGGAGTTCTGTTGTTAGGGGAAGAGAAAATTGTATCCTTAAAATCTGACTTGCTACTTCAGAAACCTAACTGACTCTTAGGATATAGTCTCTGACTGAATTGATTTGGAGTTGAATCGGATTAAGATCATTAAGTTGTGACTGTCAGCTTCTAATTCAGAAGCTATTTGTATAAACTTGGACTGCAGGCAGCTTCTGTACCCATACCTCAGAAAGCTATATTGGGGTCACAGACAGAGGTCTACTTTTGTGCCTTGAAGTCTTTAATGTGTGTCTTTACCTGTATTATCTTTTGCAATTTGACATAAACTCAAATGCCTTTTCTCTTACCCCCTCCCTGTTTTGACACTGCTGCTGATCCTGAAGAGTCAGGGATTAGAAAGCCTTTCAGGTATTCTAGACTTCACAGTTTGAAGTGTGAGATAACAAGGTGTAGAACTGGATGAACACAGCAGGCCAGGCAGCATCAGAGGAGCAGGAAAGCTGACGTTTAGGGTCTGGACCCTTCTTCAGAAATGGGGGAGGGGAAGGGAATTCTGAAATAAATAGAGAGAGAGGGGGAGGCAGATGGAAGATGGATAAAGGAGCAGATAGGTGGAGAGGAGACAGACAGGTCGAAGAGGCGGTATGGAGCCAGTAAAGGTGAGTGTAGGTGGGGAGTTGGGGTGAGGATAGGTCAGTCCAGGGAGGTCAAGGAGGCGGGACGAGGCTGGTAGGTAGGATGTGGGGGGTGGGGCTTGAGGTGGGAGGACTGGATGGGTGGGAGGAAGGACGGACAGGTTAGGGAGGCGGGGAAGAGCTGGGTTGGTGTTGGGATGCAGGCGGGGGAGAGGAGATTTTGAAGCTTGTGAAGTCTGCACTGATACCATTGGGCTGCAGGGTTCCCAAGTGAAATATGAGGTGCTGTTCCTGCAACCTTCGGGTGGCATCGTTGTGGCACTGGGGGAGGCCCAGGATGGACATGTCATCCAAAGAGTGGGAGGGGGAGTTGAAGTGGTTCGCGTCTGGGAGGTGCAGTCGTTTGTCGTGAACCGAGCATAGATGTTCCACGAAGCAGTCTCCAAGCCTCCACTTGGTTTCCCCGATGTAGAGGAGGCCACATCGGGAACAGCGGATACAGTATGCCACGTTAGCAGGTGTGCAGGTGAACATCTGCATGATGTGAAAGGTCTTCTTGGGGCCTGAGAGGGGGGAGGTGTAGGGGCAGGTGTAGCACTTCCTGCTGTTGCAGGGAAAAGTGCCGGGCGAGGTGGGGAGTGTGGAGCGGACAAGGGAGTCACGGAGAGAATGGTCCCTCCGGAAAACAGATAAGGGTGGTGAGGGAAAAATGTCTTTGGTAGTGGGGTCACATTGCAGATGACGGAAGTGCTGGAGGATGATGCGTTGGATCCGGAGGTTGGTGGGGTGGTACGTGAGGACGAGGGGGATTCTGTTTTGGTTGTGGCGGGGAGGGGGTGTGAGGGATGAGTTGTGGGAAATGCGAGAGACACAGTCGAGGGCGTTTTCGACCACTGTGGAGGGGAAGTTGCAGTCCTTGAGAGTATTCTTTTTACCAAGTTGTTGTTGTAGTTCTACCAATCACTGAGATCAGTCATGATCAGGTTTAGGGAATTAAGTGGCCTATTCTTTAGATGTAATCAATGCCTTTGGCACCTACTGCCTGAAATTTTGAATGATTCCGGTCAGGAGGTTTTTTTTTCTCAGTTCATTTAGTGTGATGGAATATGATGTGTATATATGTATTTCATCTATGTTCAGGTTCACTGCTGGAGCAGACTGATTCAAATTCAATGCAATTCATTCACATTGACAGAAGATGTGCTACAGGTGCCACCTCCTATATTTGTGAACGTAAGTAACTTGTAGGAGCTAAAATTTGCCAGACTGTAGTGAAGTGGTATGATTTAATCTGCATTTCTTTATTCTTTCATATTATGAGGGTGTCAAAGCCAGCATTTGTTGCCTGTCCCCGATTGTCCTCTAGAAATGGTTTCCTCTGTTTATTTCTTCTCAGACCACAGCTGTCCATGCTACAGCAATCATTGAAGATCTGAAGAATGGAATAGTGGGCATACCTAAGGCCTTTTCATCTGCGGTAGGTGAAAGATCTTTTGTCTGAATGCTGTGCAAGGTTCTATGGAATAAAAGCAGGTCATCTCAGTTCTAGGTATTTTGACATCTAATATAAATACTTAAAAATATTACAATAATTCAGTTGCTTTTGTAAAGCTATCTGTGAACTTTAAATAAATGCCCTCTATTATTGGTCTAGACTTGCAGAAACTTGAAAATTTGGGGTAAATGACATGGTGTGTGGCCTGGAGAATATTAACAGTGTCAGCACTTTTCAAAATAAAAACTAAAACTACCAGCATAAGTAAAATGTTATGATTAAGCAATTGTTTATTCTGTACATTAATTGTGGAACGTTGATCATTAATTCTTAGAATAACATCCAGTGCATGACTGCTAGCACTCCATCCTTCCAGATCTGTACACAGCTCAGCTCTACAATGAGTGAAATTGTGCACTTGTTAGTCACAACAAAACTAAATAGAGAATACTAGACATTCTCGCCGTCTAACTTGAAGATCTAAAAGAGAAGAGAGATTAATGTTAGTTACCATTTCTTTTTATTTTTGAAACTTCATGAGCTGGCATTATAGTATTCCTACAGTGTGGAAGCAGGCCATTCAGCCATTTGAGTTAACAGCAACCCTCTGAAGAATGTCCCATCCAGACCCATTCCCCTGCCCTATCCCTGTAACCTTGTATTTCTCATGGCTAATCCACCTAACCTGCACTTCTTTGGACTGTAGGAGGAAGGTGGAGCAGCCAGAGGAAACCCATACAGACGCTGGGAGAACGTGCAAACTCCACACAGATAGTTGCCCGAGGGTGGAATGATGCTTTGAGGCAGCAGTGCTAACCACTGAGCCATCATGCTTCCCCCATTAATTCTTTAAAAAGGAACAGAAATTGCTGGAGAAACTCAGCAGATCTGGCAGCATCTGTGTAGAGAAAGCACAGTTAACATTTTTGATTCTATTGACTCTTCAGAACAAATTTCTGAAGGGGGTTCACTGGACTTGAAATAGTAACTGTGCTTTCTATGCACAGATGCTGCCAGACCTGCTGAGTTTCTCCAGCAATTTCTGTTTTTGTTGAAGATTTCCAGTATCCACAAATTTTGTGTATATATTTAAAGTTGTATCTGAAATGTTAATCTTTATTTCTTTTGAAGTTTTTTCTGGCCTGGTTTTGCAAATCTTGTTCTTGTTTTTGTTTTTAAATTCTAATTCATAAAAGTCATGCTTTTTTTCCTTCAAAAATTCTAGGCAAATTAATTGTGTTTATCATTTAAAAACAGGAAATACTAGAAACACTTGGCAGGTAAGGCTGCATCTGGAGACAGGAGGAGTTGATATTTGGCTTGATGGCCTAGTATCAGAACTGAAACATTGTCTTTGTTTCTCCTGCCACTGGTGCTTTATGACTATTGAGTATTCCCAGCAATTTCTGTTTTTATTTCAGACTTGGAGCATCTGCAGTATTTGACTTTTGTTTTGGTAATGCTTAGAGTTTATGCTTGCACCAGTGCTAAATTTTCAGTGTGAACCTTGCAGTCAGGGTGTTTTCTGACTCTGGAGCATAGGATATTGAAGGTTCCTGCTTGTACCTCAATTTGCAGAGCAATTGAATTCTCCTCTGTCAACAGGCAGTTCAGGATGTTTGTGTAAGTACAGGTGCAGCAAACTCCATTCTGGGCAGCTGTATGGCATATGTTAAACTTGGAAATGTCAACAGGATAATACCTGGTTGAAAACAAAACTGCATCCATCTGCTGCAGACCAGTACATGCAGCTTCAGGGAAATATTTACTTGCCATATAACTTTTTAAAAAGACCTGGTTAGCCATCTAAAATCAATTTTACTTTAATTAGTGAATTTTAAATTTTACCTAATATGCTGTGTTTTCATTAAAGTTAAATGTGGGGTTTAATTTGATCTTTGCAACCAATTTTAATGGTTTACATGCAGCTTACATAGCACATTTTGTGGAAACAGTCTTTTAGAGTGAACTGCCTATTATATATACACTGTGCATATACATTCTATTCTCTGATACTTTTGAATATTTGTTTTGTGTGGTAACTTGATTTGACAATGAATAACATGAGGTCTATCGTGAAACCTTCAATATTTGTTGAGTTAGTGGAACTTGATTTGGGGCAGCGTCTTTAGGCCCTCCCCAATTCCGAAGCCGAAGTGAATAGGATCTGAAAATGGCAGTGCCAAGCAGGTGTTGGCTCACGGTTCCGGCCAATTAGAGGTGATTTCAGGGGCTGTCAAAACGGCTCCTCGTAAGATGGGCAACTAATTAGACACCTTATCTGCCTTTAACAAGGTCCTTAATGTAAGTGACCGGGGAACAGTAGGGCAATATGGGACTGTTCAGATGCTCCAAAGTAGCCACCCTGTGACAAGCAAGTGTACTAGTGATCCAAGCAGGCTTGCAGTAACTATTGCAATCTGATTATGCTTCCAACCTTATTCCTTCCACTGCTTTAGATCCTAATGTCCCAAAAGTAATGTGAATGCTCATCAATGGCCAAGTTTTCAGGGTGTTTGATTGGTCTATTTTCCCCTTGCTGGACTCCATGGGCTAAATTGCTAAATTTTCACTTTGTGGGTGAGAAACAGGAGCTGGAACTATTTCCAAGTTCTTGGATTCCCTTCCCAGGGAGGCTTGGAGGTGAAAATGGTCACTCTTAAGGATTTTGACCAGGATATTCCCTTAATTTGCATGGAAACCCATTCAGTTACTCCAGGCTGGATGTTGTAATTACAGTGCTACTTTATAATGTTTTGATTTTAAAACTGTTATCCTAAATATGGCATTTCATTTTTGTGTGGTTCTAGATATTCGGAATTCTCCACTATCTGCCTCTGTTGTTGCATAGACTTGAGTGTTGGTTAGTTATTTGATCGGGGGAAACATACATCATGGTCTATTGTTGTCCTCCAACAGCAGCTACACCTACACTTTTTACACTTGATCAATGAAGAACTCTCGCAAAAGCGGCAGTCAATTTGTCTCTCTCCTAAAGCCTGGGACTAAAATAAATTGTAGATATTAAGGTCCTATATCATTTCCAACTGTTAGTTGTGAAAGTGCTGACTTTTTGCAGTGATTTAAGTATATCTTCTGTTTCACAGTAATTCAAAAGGTTTAACTGCAGTTAAACTTTGTATTGATTTCCGTGGCTTATTGGATGAATGACAATTGATCTGGAATATCCTTTCTTACAGTTTCACAGAGAATCTGCATTGATTCTTGTAACGGTGGCTGCTGCTCAGATGCTGCATCAGAATCTCTCTGTGATCAACGTTGTTCTGCCTTTGGTTGTAGCTTATGGGGTAAGAACAGTAAAATTACTGTAATAAGTTTATTCCGCTTTTTGAAACTTGTTTTTCTTTTCTTATAACTCCTCTCGGTGTGGAAGGTGATTGATTGTGATTCCATAGCTGATGCTGTCTTCATTGCTTCACTTTTTAACTGAACTAATTTTAGCTATTTAGAATTCCATTTTATGTTTACACTAATTTTAGCTTTGTTCTTCCCAGTTAATTTATTCCATTATTTGAGTTTTATATCCCTTTTTTTATCCTGAATTTTCCTTCTTCCCCTATCCCTTCTATTCCTTGGAAGACCTCTACTCAGTGGATTTCACACTTTCCTGGTCTTTAGTTCCTTATTATAAACAGAGAGCTGGCATTCAGGAGAGGGAGGTGGCAATTATGTTTCCTAAACATAAAAGTTTTTAAAATGGAAATACTGAAATGGGTTTTTCAAAGTGGTCTCAAACAGATCAGTTCTCAGGATTGTGGCTTTTCACAGAACATGTGTACTTGGTATAGCATAATAGAGTTAGCCTGATTCCATCTTCTCCTGATCCATGATTTACGATCTTGAGTGAAACCAGCAACTTTTTTTTTAAAAGAAGAAATTCAAACTCCTAGTTGGTAGCTGTAAGATTTTGCATTTTGAACAAAAAGATATTTACTGGAGTTAAACAAAGCAAATTAGTACTAAATTCACTCACACTATACTTGATAAGTATTTATTCTTAAGCCCAAAAATCTCCCCATTTTATTGTCACTTCCATCCAAGAGTTCCTTATATACTTGCAGGATCTTGATAGGTTCTTTTATGTCTGGCTCCAAGCCAAGATGTGCAACAGGTCTCGGGAATTCACTTTGATTCTTCTCCATGTACCTGCTATTCTTTGAGCTGTCTTGCAGTCTTTTCAGCAGCTTCTGGTTAAATGACCCTCTAACTCTCCTTAATTGTGCACATCCTAGCTCCCTTGATTTCTAATTGCCATTTTACTTCCTGGTCCATATTTTCTGGTGGATTTCTCTTTGTCTCCAAGCTGTTTCTAGTCTTTAAAGCAACTGTCTTTTTCTGAGGGGAAAAAATGAATAAAACCAAACCTCAAAAATTGATAGTGATATATATTATGAAACAGTGATATAGTTCCAAGTTGGTATGATGAGTGGCTTGAAAGGGAACCTCAGGTAGTGGTGTACTCGCGTATCTGCTGCCCTATCCTTCTCGCTGGTAGAGATTTGGGAGATGCTGTCTGAGGAGAATTGGTGAGTTGCTGTAGTGCATCTTGCCAATGGTACACTCTTCTGCTGCTGTGCACACCTGGTATCAACCTAGTAAACCTTTTCTGAACCTCCAATTCCAGTATTTCTTCCTTTAGACAAGGAGTCCAAAACTCTTCACGGTATTCTAGCTGTTGTTTGACTACTGCCTTATGTAGTTTTGGCAAAATGTCCCTATTTTTATACGCCATTCCCTTTGAAATAAAGGCCAACTTTCCATTTGCTTCCCCTATTACCCATTGAACTTGGATGATAAATTTGTCCAATAGTTTTGGTTGTGCCATATGTTAATTTCCAGGGTTGTCTTTTGTCCCTTATTTATAAAGCCAATTCTGTCTGAATTCTGGAGTCGAGTCTCATACATCTGTGGTATTTTCTGCTGCTGCATTGCAATCCTGCTGTTGGCCACAGGATGGCATCAAAACCCTCAGTGTTTACAAACTGGATGTTGGCAGGTTTGAAGCTTTTGATTCTGTGTCCAACAAACCTCAGTTGAAAGGGAAGGGAGCTGTTACAGAGAAACACACCCTCTGGGAAAAAGTGCTCTTAAATGTTAGAGCAAATGGTAGAATTAGAGTAAACCAGGTGCTGCATGAAATTGTTCATGCTGAAACTGCTTCATTTTTACCAGTCAACTATGTTTAGGGTGGAAGAGAGTGGACAGGTTGGAGGTTAAGATAAGGGAAATGAATGCTAGCAGGATTGGCTTGATTCTTTATTCTTTGTTCATTATTCATTCATGGGATGAGGATGTCACTGGCTAGGCAGCATTTATTGTCCATCTCTAATTGCCCAGAGGGCAGCTAAGAGTCGAGTATTGCTGTGGGTCTGGATTTGCATGTAAGTCAGACCCCATATTGTATATAATTGTATGTAAAGGGCTAACAGGGTATTATGTAGCCAGGTGCATCTGTTGGACAGAAATACTTGGAAGTATCTGGAAATCATAGTTAAATATTAACATGTGATCTAGATGCTGTCTTCTGTCATTGCGGGTGAAGATCTGATAGGACATGGGAGGAGGACGAGAAAACACTCTAAGCAGCTTTGGTTCCCTTGGAAAAGTGAACCCGTCATCGTGTCTCACCTCTGAAACAGGTGTAAATATTGTCTGTCCAATTTTCTGTCAACCTGCAATATTTCAAAGCCCCACCATTGAGATGCAGTGTAATTCAGGAATTGGAATTTGGAACAGAATGTGACTTCTGATCTCAAGCCTTTCAAACAATGTTTTATCCCCCACAATGTCACTTAAAATTGTGGAATTATAACTCTAAGAATAGACAACCTTTCTGATACATCATTGATATCAATTTCCACTGCATCCTTTACCCCTACCATCTTCACTAAATCAATATTGTCAGTATTTTTGCCTTTGAATACTTTGTACCAATGTTTATCATTCAGTATTCTGGCCTTGCCCTATGTCTGTAAGCATATCACACCCTCTATCTTTAACTAAACCTACCTTACGTCATAAATTCACTGCAACCATATAAATATTTTGAATTCCTTTTTGTTAATTGCTGTTCTTTTTTCACATACTCTTTGTTAATGTTTTCTCTTCACTTCCCCCATCAACTTATTCTATTTGTCTTGGTTCTCGCTTAAGAATTCATTTGACTTGCACCGTATTGCCTCCATTTATTTCAGCATATTCTCTATCTCCCTCATCAGATGAGGACTGTGGCTTTGGTTTCCCTGCTTTGCCCCTTTGCTGACCTGTGTCTAATCTAAACCTTATGATTTCATGGCCGTTCTTACCCAGATGTTCTTCCATTGGCAATTTGTCCACTCAGCCCATCTAAAACCTTAGCACCAGATTCCAAACTGACCGTTGCGGTTCACAGATATGTAATGCATCAAGTCAGGATTGAATTTCTTAATGCAGATTTAATGTTGTTTATTATACTTCTAGAAAAATTTCTGGGCCCTGAAACTCCTGTTCGACAGTCTGAGCATGAAAGAGGACGTCTTGCACCATTTCTGTGGCACCCTCTGCAGTAATATTTATGTATATAAAAGCATGTTGATTGATGCGTAAGTACAATTTCATTGCTGCTGTTAGATCTGTATAGTTTGTAAATCCTCCAGCCCTTTGTTTAGATGGTTATCTTGAAGTTAATCAAAAGTCTGTGTAACCAGTGCACCATGTGAGAAATTGCATTGTGAAATATTGTGTGTGGTATCCATTCCATAACTATCATAAATTGTCACAATGTTATTCTAAATGCATCGAAAAATCCAGCATTATACTACCTCAATGGTAAAATGCACCCTAAGGGAGTCAGCATGTAGTTACATTAAATAGGCACATTATGATTGACCATTGATTTAAAGTGCTCGCTGAGTTGCACTGAGCGGAAACCTCTCTGTACCGGTGCTTAACGAAGTATGCTGAACAATTGTAGATGTTGTGCAGCTTCCCCTGTTTGTTAAGCCCAGCAGCAGTAATGAGATTGCTACTGCAACCCATTAGAATAGGAACCTGATGTAAATGGCCACAACAGTATTTGCCTCATCAGCCTGGCTGTTAGCAACAACGCTATATCTCCTAATTTTAAGTAAACAACTTTGTCACAACTGAAATAATGCAAAACAAATAAATTGCTCATCAATTCTAGATTTGCACTTGTTCCATTGAATCCAGTGAGTGCAAGCCAATTCTTATCCATCCAGTCAACCCAAGTTCAAGCCTGACATGTGTGCAGACTCATGAATTCCACAGTTTTCCCTGCCTTGGGTGACTAGTCAAATGAGCTCTTTGGTATCCGTTATTGAGGAAATATGAACTGCATTTTTCTCATCTAACTCCTTTGATGTCTCTCCCCTAATAACTTACTAATACCCGTATTAGAGTGAAGACTGTGTTTGGTTTTTTTTTTCCCTATTCATCTGTAGGATGTGGGCCAGCATTTATTGCCCATCCTTAGTTGACCTTGAGAAGGTGGTGGTGATCTGCCTTCTTGAACTACTGCAGTCCAGCTGCTGTGGGTTGACCCACAATGCCATTAGGGAGGGAATTCCAGGATAATTGTTCCATGTTCTTCACCAGACCCAACCCTGACCGAGTAGAGCAGTAGTTGGAGACTTGGGACTGGGAAAGAGCTGGGAGCTATTTCCCCTTTTCTCTTCCCCCTCATTCTTTTCTGGTCTTTGTCTGCTTCCTCCTCCATCATATTACTGTCACCTAGCTCTATTTATCCCCTGCTCCTTGCCAACCTTGCTTCGCCTGAATGCTTGGCTTTACATTTGCAAGAAATAATTTTGCACATTTTATTCAAACACTTCACATGATGGCCTGTATTTTAAATGTTTCTGAAGATTTCTGCTATAATTATAACCAAGCGATCCAATTATGCAATAACACATACCTTTGTCAGAGAACCTGATTCTTTGTATGTCCACTACACTTTGGGCAGTTTGTTGTCTGGTGAAGAGCTTTTCAATTTATCACGTAATGACTAATGGGCACCAGTGATGACAGTCTGTGTCTGCAAACAGAATACCATTGTAATTTGTTAGCTGAGTTGGCTGCATGGTAGGTCTGTAATGCAGAGTGATGTCAACAGAGTGGTTTCAAACACCACACCAGCTGAGGTTACCATGAAGGACTGTCTGTTTCAACCTCTCTCCCCTCACCTGAGGTGTGGTGACCCTCCGGTTAAACCACCACCAGTCATCTTTCTCTAATGAGACAGCAGCCCTATCGTCTGATAAGACTATACCTTGCCTTACCTTTACTAAGAATTTCATTTAAGATAGATAGTATCTTCCTGAGCAAATTGTTCTATCAACTAAACAGAGCTCAATTTGGAGAGACTGATCATTTCACTGCTCACTCCAAAGTGGTGAGGGGCAAGGTTTCAGTAGTTCTGCCATATAGAATCCCTACAATGTGGAAGCAGGCCATTCTGCCCATCGAGTACACCGACTCTCCGAAGAGCATCCCACCCAGACCCAGCCTGTAACTCTGTTTTGCATGGCTAATCCACCTAACCTGCACATATTTGGACTGTAGGAGGAAAGTGGAGCACTCAGAGGAAACCAATGTAGACATAGGGAGAATGTGTGTCAAGTTTGCACGGTCGCCTGAGGCTGGACTTGAACCTGGGTCCCTGGTATTGTGAGGCAGCAGTGCTAACCACTGAGCCACCGTGCCGCCCCTTGTCTCCTTTAATTCCTTTTTCAAGGACGTGTTTTAAAGCAGTGCAGTCAGGCTCAGTTTCAATTGTTTGGAGTTTGCCGTTGTTTTCTTCAAAGTACATCTCTGTGGTTTTCTCACTTTTGTACTAAATTTACTTTTGCATGCCTTGTGATAAAAATGCTATTTTATTTAGAGTGCATTTCTTCTAAATTTATTTAGGTTTAAGTGTCATGATGCTGACTACGTCTCTGATCTGGTGACCCTCTTCCTGTCTTTTAAACAAGCGACTATCCAATCTGTTAGCATTCCTGTGCTCAACGTTCTTGTGGAGTCATGGCACGAGTGAGTATTTCTGGGATCTGCAAAGATCTAACTTGAATGTTGAACGTAATGTCAGAAGTCTCAAGTTGTGGTGTGAGGTTTTTTTTTAAATCTATTTGTCCTATAGATTTTAAATTTGTTGGCCTTTTAATGAGATTTCTTCAAAAGTATGAAGAGATGCGTGCCCACACCTGTACAACCAGGTTAGTAATCCCACTCCCTTTTGTATTTCAGCATCCCCAGTTGATTGCAGCAAAGGTTTAAGTTTTTGTTTTGGCCTTAAGCTGTACCTTTCGCAAATTAAAATGTAGTTAACTACTTTCATTGTAAGTGACAAGGAGCTAATCACAGGGTTTCTTTGAGTCAAAGAAAAGGCATTTTTATTTTCTAGTGCAAAGGACAATGATAATGATGTGATGTCAAACATACAGCCTTTGTGCCAGTCACCTGAGACCTCACATCCATACACAGGTAAAAAGTTAAAAGGCAATGGTGCCCAGTACAAAGGAAGATAGGAGTTTAAAGTGAAGAGTTCTTTTGTCCTTGACCTGAGCACATGGTTAGTTGGTTTTCTTGGACTGTCGTCAGCAGCAGCAGTAATTATCTCTTAAATTCTCTGTTCCAAGCTACCTCCTCCCAGTCAGTGCTTCCAAAGCACGCACCCTGCTCCTTGAGCCTGTTCAGTTTTCCATTCTCAAATCCATCTCCCTGGTCTACCAAAAGAGCTCCGGAGGGACCGCTGTCTCCGTGACTCCCTCGTCCGCTCCACACTCCCCACTAGCCCTACCACCCCTGGCACTTTTCCCTGCAACCGCAGGAAGTGCTACATCTGCCCCTACACCCCTCTCCTCCACTCCCCACCCACCTCGCCCCCATCCCAAGCCACAGGAAAACCTTCCACATTAAACAGATGTTCACCTGCACAGCTGCTAATGTGGTATACTGTATCCGCTGTTCCCGATGTGGCCTCCTCTACATCGGGGGAACCAAGCAGAGGCTTGGAGACCACTTTGTGGAGCACCTATGCTCGGTTCGTGACAAACGACAACATCTCCCAGTCGCGAACCATTTCAACTCCCCCTCCCACTCCTTGGACGACATGTCCATCCTGGCCTCTTGCAGTGTCACAACGATGCCACCCGAAGGTTGCAGGAACAGCACCTCATATTTCGCTTGGGAACCCTGCAGCCCAATGGTATCAATATGGATTTCACAAGCTTCAAAATCTCCCCTCCCCCGACCACATCCCAACACCAGCCCAGCTCGTCCCCACCTCCCTAACCTGTCCGTCCTTCCTCCCACCTATCCACTCCTCCCATCTCAAGCCCCACCCCCTACCTACCAGCCTCATCCCTGTCTCCTTGACCTGTCCATCCTCCCTGGACTGACCTATCCTCACCCCGCTTAACTCCCCACCTACACTCACCTTTACTGGCTCCATCCCCACCTCTTTGACCTGTCCGTCTCCTCTCCACCTATCTGCTCCTTTATCTATCTTCCATCTGCCTCCCCCTCTATTTCAGAATTCCCTTCCCCTCCCCCATTTCTGAAGAAGTGTCCAGACCCGAAACGTCAGCTTTCCTGCTCCTCTGATGCTGCCTGGCCTGCTGTGTTCATCCAGCTCTACACCTTGTTATCCTTGAAATAACGTTTTCTTTGTACACTCCATGTCTGCTGGGGTTATGTTTTCAGGCTCGATAATTGCATATTCCCATAATGGTGTAAATCAAATAGGAGATGAGGATCTTTGTATACTTCACATGTGGCCAATCTAACAGGTTTCATTACCCTTGGCTGGTCAATTGTTAATATCAGAATGCACTGTCTTTGACTTAAAATGGCTGCAGTGATCACCTGACCCACAGTTCGCCAGGTTTCATGAAACTAACGTGAATTAGATCAGTACGTTGGTCCCTTTCTCAGTCCATGGAATGCCAGTCATTAAATTAACTGATGGAGTTCAGAAACCAATAACTTATTATAGTAACATGTCATTCGAAGGTAGGTGCTAATAGACAATTGAATCTCTGAAAAATATTTCTCTTGTAATCTGATGTGGTGTAATATTTGTTACCTCTGTTTGGTTTATATATCAAACAAAATACTACAGAACTTCTGTTTCATTGCTGTAGGTTTTCTATCTTTAACTTCATAATTGGAAGGCTCCTCTGTACCAAGGGAGTCGCATACCCTCTTTTCCTGGCTGATATTAAAGCTTGAGAATTCAATCCTGTGTGTTTTAAAATATTTTTCCCTTTGTATCTCTATAGCTTTTTTTTAAGAAATCAGCGTTCTGTTTTTCTTCCCTTCTCCTTGCTGGCACACATGTCTAGAGGGTTTTTTTAACCCTGCCAGCTTGCTGAAATGTGTCATCTTTAATTGTTATTTAACCTTCAAGGTCTTCAATGGAAGCTTGATCCTGTATATTTCTCTACCTACCCTCCAGTTGCTCCTAGCTGAGGGGTTTCCTAAGACTAACATTGACCTTGGTTGAAATCAGCCTACACAGTACAAACTTTAATGTGTTGGTGTAGATTTAATAATTGTGAGCACAAGCTCAAAACTAACGAGCAATTTCAGAATTTGGATTGATTTTTTTAAAACTTATTACCAGTAAATGAGCGATCATAAAGCTGTCTGATGCTCTTAAAAAGCTAAGAGACAGACTTTTAATCAGTAAAGGAATTGAGGGTTACAGTAAAGGGAGGAAAGTGGAGTTGAGAATTATCAGATGATCCATGATCTCATTGAATAATGGAGCAGACTTCATAGGCTATATGTCCTGCTTCTGCTCCAACATCCTATGGTCCAAAATTTTAAGGTCTTATAACTAGTTCACTAATGTCTTTTTTGGATTGAAGCCTGTTGTTGCCCGGTCTGATAAGGATCAAGTGATTTGGCAACATCTGATGGCTTTGTGAGTGCTCTCCGGTATGAGACAAAGCCTAGAATCTTACTTTCTACATTTTTGAAAAGTCTCAACAAACTCTGTCAAATTACTCCTTGTTATTTGCCTCAATATTGACCAAGTAATGAGAGGAAAAGGCTTCTAATTACATACTAAGTAATGGATATCCGAGAGGTAGAGTAAAGTTTTAACAAAACAGGAAGACCTGAGTGTGTTGAATCCCGTAATGGCAACACTTAAAACAGGTTAAAAACTTATTCAGATCCAGACAATAATTTTAGATTAGCTTCTGCCCAGGTATTGACACTTTAAACTATTCTAGTCCCTTTTTTCCCTATGAATTAGTCAATAAGTTAATAGGGCACTTTTTGTTGCAAAAAATCTGTCACTGTTCTATTATTATGTGCATCATCGTGGTGTGTGCTCTGCCTAAATGCAGATCTTTGGCTTATGATTTCCTCCAAGTTTCTGTGCCAGATTTTTCATTTGCCAATCACTATTTCAATTTTCAAACCATCTAACACTCCCAGTTCTCTTCTTCAGTCTTCCGCTTATTCCTGGAAATTTTCCCTCCATAAGAGTCTCAGTCAAACTCAGCCTCTCTGTCTTTTCCAAAATATGTTCGGCCAATTTGTTCATTCGTGCTCCATTTGTTACATTTCTGTACTGCTGTTCCTTTCCATTCTCGTGCAAGCATGAGCCATTGTTTAAATTGACTGGATGATTTTGCATATTTGCCAATAATTTGCACATATTTAATAACAGAAGAAACAGACAATTCAGTTAAAATGTCAGTGGCCATGTTTATGTTTCACACAAGCACCTTTCACTCCAATTCATCTCCCAAAATCATCATATCCTTCTGTCAGTTTCTTGCTCATGTACTTACCTAGCTTTTCCCTTAAGTGACATTCAATTCCACATAGTAGTGAATTCTAACCATTCTGAGGCAAAGAATTTTCTCTAGATATCCTTTTTTTAGATTCATTAGTACTGCCATATATTTATGGGTTCTGGTTTTGGAATCCTCTAAGTGGAAAACCTATCACTGCATCCAGGTTGCAGAATTCCTTCAATTTTTTAAAGATTATCAGCTTACCACAACAGGCCAAAAATGAG